GGTGGCAGCGATCTTGCGTTCGTCACAAAGGTCTCAACTGTGGCAGAGCTGGGAGTGTGGAATGGTCTTCTAAACAGCTGGCTGTGGGACTTTACCATAAGGATCTGGTCTGGATACGGAATGTCTCCCTCACAGGACTGTGTTCAGAGGAAGCTGAAAGATGTGTAGCTGTCCTGGGGACCTGTTCACTGACCGTAAATTGTGATCCCTGGTGACTGTGTGCTTTTGGGATGTAAGTGCCAAAGGTAGCTATGGACTGAGATGACTCTCAAAGAGCCACAGAATACTGACCATTCCCCTGTGTCCCCAGTGGAACTTGTGTATGTTGGCCTAAAGAAGAGTGTTGTCTTATTATTGCACCAACATTTTGGATTATCACATTCCCTAACCTCTCCTGCTTAAAGTTCCTCAAGCAATACATTTCAAAAAGACATCCTCTAGACTACCGGAGTGATTGGAGCTGGAGTGCATGGACTGGTGCTTGTGGCAATGGGCAGCCTCTGTACTATTAGGGAAGAGCCAGCTATTACCAGCAGCCCCATCCGGGGTAGTGCTACATACATGAAAGGATTCCCACTTTAAATCGAAAGGGGTAAATCACACACATTTAGCTTTCCGGTGACCCTTGTCTTAAAGCTGTGGCATTTGCTTCTTTCCATCCAGTACTGCATTGCAGGTATACTGTAGCGCCCCTCTAATTAGTCGGGGAGCTAGCTAGGTTTTTTTAGATAGAGGCTGGGTAGCAGCCTGGTATGAGTCTGCCTGGAATGATTCAACCAGGTTACTCTGGATCAGGACTGAGGGCTTTACAGGTCAGTTCCCTGATAGATCCCCCTGCTCTAGAAGCTTAAGAAGTTTCTAGAAAGCAGTGGGTGGGGGTGAGGAGGGGCTGATCTGCATACTCAGGTACTGTCAGGAAGCGCGGTGACCTGTCGGCCGGCGCACGTGCACTGGCGACGGCTCACGCCGGGACACAAGCACCAGGTCCCGGCGAGCCGCAGATGACAGGACGCCGCGCATGCGTAGTAGGAGCCGTGGGCGCGCCTCGAGCGGCCAATGACAGCCCGGGGGCGCGTCCTGGACGGCCAATGACAGTGCAGGGCGCAATATTTAAAGATGCCCTGCACTGTCACTTTCGCCGCAAGGTCTATCTGTGTTCCTGAGTCCTGTACCTGAGTTATTGACCCTGATTGACCCTGATTACGCTGCCTTCTCCTGTGATTAACCCGGATTGTCCTGACTACGCTGCCTTCTCCTGTATTTGACCCGGATTGTCCTGACTACTCTGCCTTCTCCCCTCCTGACTCCCGGCTTGTTTGACCTATCTACGGACTGACTTATCCTGCTGACCCTGCGTGTGACCTGCCGATTCTCCGCCTGCCGATTCTGTACCTCGCCTACCCCACGGGACCACTGCTCGTGATCCATCCTGCTAGGTCCTGCCGGCCTCCTCACATCTGGCTCTCCCGGTACCTATACATCCCCGGAGGTTCCCTCTGCCACTGGTGGGCCTGCTCAGAGGTCGTGACCTGGTCCTGGTCTGTTTCAAGTCCATCCCCACCATCAGGGGCCCTGGTGAAAGCACAGACCGGGAATTAGACTCCACGCTCTGGGTAGGTCTGTCAAGTGGGCTGCCAGAGGCACCACCTGGCGGATCATAACAGGTACTCAGGGGACTCTGACCAATCCTCGAACAGGAGACTTGGCATGGCGTCAGGGCAGCCCTTAAATATGGGAGAGCCTGGGAGGGGTAAGTCAGTGTCGTGTTGAAGAAATTGCATGTTTCCTGGCTGTGCAGGACTATAGGGGGACCTAAAAAACTCAGCAACTCTTAAGGGGGGTAGTGCTACATGACAACACTTTCAGATGGAATCCACATGGATCTTCTGGATGGCTCATATATCATTAGATAACATATGAGCCGCAGGAAGAACTACATTGTCTGGCCTATCTGAAAGTGTAAAATACATGTAGTTGGCAGGAAACGGTCATGAATTTTTAAGATAATGAATTCTGGAAAGGTAAGGAAAGTATAGATGCAGTTCTTTCTATAGCATGTGCTTAGTTTCTAGGTGGTCTTGTGATGGTATGGTTATTAGAGTTAGGCTCGGTTCACATTACTGCGACTTGAAAGTCACTTGACTTCCAGTGCGCCATTGCCAGGCGACGTCCTGGTGATTTGCTGGCAACTTGATGCAACTTGAGTATGACTTACAGTTGCAAGAAAAAGTATGTGAACCCCTTGGGATTACATGGAGTTTTGCATGAATTGGGCATAAAATGTGCTCTGAACGTCATCTAAATCACAACAATAGAAGAACACAGTCTGCTGAACATAATACTACACAAACATTAGATGTTGCCATGGTTTAATTGCACATAACATGTAAACATTCACAGTGCAGGGAGGAAAAAGTATGTGAACCTTTGGACTTAATAACTGGTTGACCCTCCTTTGGCAGCAATAACCTCAACCAAACGTTTCCTGTAGTTGCAGATCAGACCTGCACAACAATCTGGAGTCATTTTGGACCACTCCTCTTCACAAAACTGTTTCAGTGTAGCAATATTCTTGGGATGTCTGGTGTGAATCGCTCTCTTAAGGTCATGCCACAGCATTTCAATCGGGTTGAGGTCAGGACTCTGACTGGGCCACTCCAGAAGGCGTATTCTGTGCTGTTGCAGCCATTGTTTTGTTGAATTACTTGTAAGCTTTGGGTCATTGTCCTGTTGCATCACCCATCCTCTGCGGAGCTTCAGTTGGCGGACAGACGGTCGTACGTTTTCCTGCAAAATGTCTTGATAAACTCTGGAATTCATTTTCCCATCAATGACAGCAATCCGTCCAGGCCCTGAGGCAGCAAAGCAGCCCCAAACCATGATGCTCCCTCCCCCATGTTTTACAGTGGGGATGAGGTTTTGATGTTGGTGTGCTGGGCCTTTTTTTCTCCACACATAGTGTTGTGTGTTCTTCCCAAACAGCTCAATCTTGGTTTCATCTGTCCACAGTATATTTTGCCAGTAGTGCTATGGAACATCCAGGTGCTCTTTTGCAAACTTCAAACGTGCTGCAATATTCTTTTTGGACAGCAATGGCTTCCTCCGTGGTGTCCTCCCATGTACTCCATTCTTGTTTAATGTTTTCCTTATTGTAGATGTGTCAACAAAAATGTTAGCATGTGCCAGAGATTTCTGTAGGTCTTTAGCTGACACTCTGGGATTCTTCTTTACCTCATGCAGCATTCTGCGCTGTGTTCTTGCAGTCATTTTTAGAGGACGATCACGCCTAGGGAGAGTAGCAACAGTGCTAAACTTTCTCCATTTGTAGACAGTCTGTCTTACCGTGGACACATGAACATCAAGGCTTTTGGAGATACTTTTGCAACCCTTTCCAGCTTCATGCAAGTCAACAATTCTTGATCGTAGGTCTTCTGAGAGCTCTTTTCTGCGAGGCATGGTTCACATCAGACAGTGCTTCTTGAAACCAGTAAACCCAAAACAGGTGTGTGTTTTTTTAAGGGCAAGACAGCTGTCAGCAACACATCCAATATCATCACATTGATTGGAGTCAAGGTTGGCTCACTCCTGGCTCCAATTAGCTCTGGGAGAAGTCATTAAGCTAGGACCTCACATACTTTTTCCTCCCTGCACTGTGAATGTTTACATGTTATGTGCAATTAAACCATGGCAACATCTAATGTTTTTGTGTAGTATTATGTTCAGCACACTGTGTTCTTCTATTGTTGTGACTTAGATGACGTTCAGAGCACATTTTATGCCCAATTCATGCAAAACTACATGTAATCCCAAGGGGTTCACATACTTTTTCTTGCAACTGTAGATGCAACTTGATGTGTGGCTTTCATGTCATGAGACTTCGCCTGGGTAATCTTCCTGTAATGTTGGATCCAAATCACATCAACATAGATGACCATCTGACTTGGAGGTGACTTTCATTATAGTCTATGGGCACAAGTCAGATAGAAGTCACCTTGAAGTAGTACAGGAACCCTTTCTAAAGACGGAGCAACTTCAGTACTGCTAATTAGGACAGCTCTCTCATTGACTAGCATAGGATTTCACATGTTATATGACTTGGGGTCTATGACGGGAGTGATTTTGGGTGGGGGGCCCATGGAACACAGCCCCCTTTGGAGAGGTGGGGAGACCCCTGTCTCAGCTCCCCATATTCCTATTATGTGTAAGTCACCCTGTGCCTGTTAGGGGTACAGGGTGATCTGTCCTGATATTGTATAGACATGTATAGGTGTGGGGGTTGTTTCATTGTTTACTGCCACGTGGTCCCATTGTTCTATTGTGTGTCCTGCTTGGGAACAAACTATTCTGGGATGTATGGGTTTGTGTATTGTCTACTACCACTTTGTGTATCCCATTGTTCTATTGTGTGTCTTGCTTGGGAGCAAAGGATTATGGGATATATGTGTTTGTACTGGCTTGGTGGGGGGTGTTTCCGGCAGCCCTTCCCCCTGATGGGACGGCCTGCTGATGTGTTTCCTGTTACTGGGTGTATTTCCTCGCCCTGTGTATTTATCTTGTATCTATGTTAAAATAAAGCAGTCCATTTCCTGTTTTAATAGAGTAAGGCGCTGTCTCGTCTTGTATGGCCAGCAGTGGTGTCCGTGGATCTGTGGTCGGACAGGGAAGCGGGGGTCTAACGGAAATACCCTAGTGCAGTCGGGGGCCGGTTCCGTTACAGGGTCTCACAAGTCGGATCCCAAGTGGCAGCAGTGTGAACCGAGCCTTAGAGTTTTTGACAGTTGCACTGCTAACCGTTGCTGGTTGCCTATACAGCCTAATGCAAGTCTGTACATCAAGCCAAGGGTAGGCTGTGTATGGACACACAGAGAGGACTTCTGGGGGGGGGATCAGAGAGGGAAGTGGCCTTAAAAGTCCATGCAAAAGGGGAAGAGGGGGAATCATGCTGTAGAAACTGATGGTTCTCCATTTCTCTTAATAGGTCACTGAAGAGGGGGTGAAAGATGGACGGCCATAATTAGTAAGTCAATGTAAAGCATACTATGATGTATTCATGTATATGATCATTTTAAATTAACATCTCTCTCTTGCTTGCACTAATTTGTGCACCCTTTCTTGATTGCACTTTTTTGCGTGTTCTCTCTCTTTCTTCTCTCTCCTCTCTCTCTCTCATATTATGTATTAATCTAATTTCCTTGTTAAATTCTCCTCCAGCCAGTACTCCAGAGAGTTTTATGACCGATATGCACAGGGTCAGGATAAGTCCGTGGTCAATAAGATGCAGCAGAAATACTGGAAGACCAAACAGACCCTCATCAAGGTGACCGGCAAGAAGGAAGATGAACATGTGGTGGCCTCAGACTCTGACCTAGATGCCAAACTGGAGGTTTGTTTTCATCAGCAAAAAATTACACAAAATTTATTTTAAAAACCCTATCCACAGAAATTCTAAGAGGAAATAGAATAACATATTTATTGGTTTTGTTCATTGGAGAAGCACCACAACACCTTATGAAGGCCTTAGAGCCATTCATATTGACCTCTACACTAGGGGAGTTTACTATTTAATGCAATGGTTGCTAACTTATGAGCTAAAGGGGGTCCCAAATGCCCCCCTGACATCGCCAAAGGGACGCATATAATGTTGAATGTATGTAATACTTAAGAGGACTGTCAGAAACTGCAGACCTAATGGAGGAAAGGTGGGTCAGAGAGTGCGGACAGGATACATTTTTGGCTGGGATATCCTACAGAAGACAATATGAAACTGGGAACATGATGTATGAGGCTAGTAGAGATCAATGCTGTTTCCCTAATCAATCTTACCACTACAGACTGCCATGGTCCCAGGGCTGCACACCTTCTACTAAAGGGCTGCATGTGGTCCTTGGGCCATTGGTGGGGCACCAGGGATCTAATGGGCCTGGCAGCACACACACATGTATAATTTGGTTGACAGGTCATTAGGCCACTTGTGTTTTTTTGGAAAGAGCACTAAAGTATCCAGAGTAATTCACTCTAACACAGTGGTACATAGAGTGAGGAGAGGTTTTTCTTGCCTTCTTGTTTCTAGAGATATTGCAGTGGAACATGTGTTGAGGTTGTCCCCCAAAAAGATTCTGTAGAGCTGTTACTAACAAAAAAATAAAAAGGGGGGGGGGTGGTTATTGCTGTCATTATCTGTATTGGCAAGATTTCCATTCACTTCCTGCCTTGGTGACAACTGGCCCTGAGATAGGAAGTGAGGAGAAATCCTACACACAAATCAATGGAAGAAGCCCTATGTAAAATTCAAGTTGCAACTGGGACTTGATGCAGATATGAGGATTCTCTGCCTGCCTCATGTGCCTGAGCAGCCAATCACCAGGCACCAGGACTGTCACACGGGAGGTAGGGGATTGAGTTGCACGCTCCCCATACCCAGAATTACCACGTTTGTCACTTCATTAGGTGCACAAGGTGGCAGGAGAGTCAAGGAAGGAAGATACACTATATTGTCAAAAACACCTGCCTTTACACGTACATGAACTTTAACGGCATCCCAGTCTTAGTCTGTAGGGTTCAATATTGAGTTGGCCCCGCCCTTTTCAGCTATAACAGCTTCAACACTTCTGGGAAGGCCGTCCACAAGGTTTAGGTGTGTGTCTATGGGAAGGTTTGACCATTCTTCCAGAAGCACATTTGTGAGGTCAGGCACTGATGTCGGGGGAGAAGGCCTGGCTCGCAGTCTCCACTCTAATTCATCCCAAAGGTGTTCTATCAGGTTGAGGTCAGGACTCTGTGCAGGCCAGTCAAGTTCCTCCAACCCAAACCCTCTCATCCATGTCTTTTATGGACCTTGCTTTTTACACTGGTGTGTAGTCATGTTGGAACAGGAAGGGGCCATCCCTAAACTCTTCCCACAAAGTTGGGAGCTTGAAATTGTCCAAAATGTCTTGGTATGCTGACACCTTAGGAGTTCCCTTCACTGAAACTAAGGGGCCAAACCCACCCCTGAAGAACAATGCCACACCATAATTCCCCCTCCACCAAACTTTACACTTGGCATAATGCAGGCAGGCAAGTACCGACTCATCCGTCAGATTGTCAGACAGAGAAGCGTGATTCATCACTCCAGAGAACACACCTCCACTGCTCTAGAGTCCAGTGGCGATGTGCTTTGCACCGCGGCATCCGACGCTTTGCATTGCACTTGGTGATGTAAGGCTTGGATGCAGCTGCTCGGCCATGGAAACCCATTCTATGAAGCTCTCTACGCTCTGTTGTTGTGCTAATCTGAAGGCCATGCAAAGTTTGGAGGTCTTTAGCTATTGACTCTGCAGACAGTTGGTGACTTCTGTGCGCTGCAGCATGCGCTGACCCCGCTCGGTCATTTTACGTGGCCTACCACTTTGTGGCTGAGTTGCTGTTGTTCCCAGTTGCTTCCACTTTGTTATAATACCACTAATTGACCGTGGAATATTTAGTAGCAAGAAAATGTCACGGATGGACTTATTGCACAGGTAGCAACCTATCACGGTACCACGCTTGAAGTCACTGAGCTCCTGAGAGCGACCCATTCTTTCAAAAATGTTTGTAGTAGCAGTCTGCATGCCTAGGTGCTTGATTTTATACACCTGTGACCAGGGCCGGTGTATGAAACTACAAAATTTCTTTTAATTTGCGCAAATAAGTGTCATGAAATGCCACCAATATTAAATACAAAATCAGTGTCATTGATGGACTGTATCTGTGGCTGACAGTGGCAGGGTGACAGTTGCAGTGATGATGAGGATGATGGATCCACACTCTGACAGATCCCAAGCTGGAATTCCCCAGGCAACAGGGGAAATAAAATGCTTTGACAGCAGGCATCCCAGCCCACACGCATACAGAGAACACTGAAAGGAGCGGCAGCTCAGCTGCTACACTGGCCCCAGACACCTGGCATCTGCCTCTGTCCTTTCTTCCTCCCCTCTGCCATCCTCAGCTGGAGGATCATTCATGACATGGCGGCGCCCCACACAGAGTGAGTGCCAGCCTGTGCTGCACCTAGGTGTTCCTAGGTGGAAGTGCGCCCTAGGCGACTGCCTAGTTTGCCTAGTGGAAGAACCGACCCTGTCTGTGGCCATGGTGTCGATTGGTACACCTGAATCCAGTGATTTGGAGGGGGTGTCCCAATACTTTTGGCAATATAGTGTATGTATGTGCTACCAGAAAGAGGGGAAAAAGGTTAACTGTCATGTCATGGGCAAGGCATAGGTTCACTTTAAAGTGACCTGGTTCTGAAAAATAAATATTAAAACTGTCATTACCTGTAAAAGAAGAGTGTGCCTCAAAAAAACACAAAATTATCTAACATTTATACAGAAACCCACTCAGAAACAAATATTCACACTTTTAGACCACAGTGTATAAGATGGACACAATGTCAGCTCAGCATGAACTCCAGAAACTAACTTCCCACTACATATTTGGATTAGAGCTGTCAGTACCAGGGTGCTCCCCATTACATCTCTGGAGGAGGAGCTGTCAGTACCAGGGTGCTCCCCATTATATCTCTGGAGAAAGAGTTGTCAGTACCAGGGTGCTCCCCCATTACACCTCTGGAGAAAGAGCTGTCAGTACCAGGGTGCTCACCATTACATCTCTGGAGGTGGAGCTGTCAGTACCAGGGTGCTCCCCATTACATCTGTGGAGGAGGAGCTGTCAGTACCAGGGTGCTCCCCATTATATCTCTGGAGAAAGAGCTGTCAGTACCAGGGTGCTCCCCCATTACACCTCTGGAGGAGGAGCTGTCAGTACCAGGGTGCTCCCCCATTACACCTCTGGAAGAGGAGCTGTCAGTACCAGGGTGCTCCCCATTACATCTCTGGAGGAAAAGCTGTCAGTGCCCAGGATCTCTCCCATTAAATCTCTGGAGGAAGAGCTGTCAGCGCCCGGGATCTCTCCCATTACATCTCTGGAGGAAGAGCTGTCAGTGTCCGGGATCTTTCTCATTACATCTCTGGTGGAAGAGCTGTCACTGCCCGGGATCTCTCCATTACATCTCTGGAGGAAGAGCTGTCAGTGCCCGGGATCTCTCTCATTACATCTCTGGAGGAAGAGCTGTCACTGCCCGGGATCTCTCCATTACATCTCTGGAGGAAGAGCTGTCAGTGCCCGGGATCTCTCTCATTACATCTCTGGAGGAAGAGCTGTCACTGCCCGGGATCTCTCCCATTACATCTCTGGAGGAAGGGCTGTCAGTGCACGGGATCTCTCCCATTAAATCTCTGGAGGAAGGGCTGTCAGTGCCCGGGATCTCTGCCATTACATTTCTGGAGGAAGAGCTGTCAGTGCCGGGGATCTCTCCCATTACATCTCTGGAGGAAGAGCTGTCAGCGCCCGGGATCTCTCCCATTACATCTCTGGAGGAAGAGCTGTCAGTGCCCGGGATCTCTCCCATTACAGCTCTGGAGGAAGAGCTGTCAGTGTCGGGGATCTCTCCCATTACATCTCTGGAGGAAGAGCTGTCAGTGCCCGGGATCTCTGCCATTGCATCTCTGGAGGAAGAGCTGTCACTGCCCAGGATCTCTCCCATTACATCTCTGGAGGAAGAGCTGTCAGTGCCAGAGCTCTCTGCCATTACATATATGGAGGAAGAGTTGGCTGTACCTGGGTGCTGCCCAATTATATCTTTAGAGTAAAGCTGTCCCACACCAGAGTGTTCCCCAATTGCATGATTTGAGGAACAGCTGCCCCATCACAGGGTCCCTCAACCCTCCCCTTCCCCACTACATCTTTACAGGAAGACTTGCCCCATGCATAGTGGATAGTTAGTACTTCTGCCTGGCAGTACTCGGGTTGTTGGTTCAAATCCCAACCGTGGCATCACCTGCCTGGAGTTTGCATGTTCTCCCTGTGCCTGTGTTGTTTTCATTTGGCTACTCCAGTTTCCTCCCACACTCCAAAGACATGCTGGTAGGTGAATTGGCTCCTGTCTAAATTGTCCCTAGTATGTGTATGTATGAATGTAAGTTAGGGACCTTAGATTGTACACCCCTTGAGGGTTGGCGACTGATGTGAATGTACAATATATATGTAAAGCACTGTGTAAATTCATGGTTCTATATAAGTACAGTACCTGTAATAAAGAAATAAATAAAATACCAGGGCGCACCTTGTAAAGACCGGCCGCTCTAGAGAAGTTCAGAGTTGTTACATCTGAATGTCCTGTATTGAGGTACAAAATCTGAATTGTTTTGTTGTATTTTCAGCTTTTTCATTCAATCCAGAGGACAGGTATGGAGCTCCTGAAAGTCATAGAACAGTATCAGAAGAGGATATGCTGTAAGTTGAGTTAACGTTTTGTAACCCTGTGTTGACTTTTTGTGTTTCCTTTAAGTGTATCTATTTATTTGGATAGAGTAGCGAAGGATGAGAGCCCTGTCAGGTTTTTATTGCTGTCTATGTCGCCCATTGGGGACATTTCACCCCTCTAATTATCCTGGTGACCATTGTTACTATGACAGAAATGGAAATACAGGTTTACCTCAGTTTACGAACGCCTCGGTTAACGTAATTTTCGCTTTACAAATGCAAATCCATTGAAAATAATGCCTCGGTTTACAATTTTTTTTCGCAATACAAAGCACATTTCCCCAGGATGCATTGCGCATGGGAGGTTTATAGTGCCGGCCCCATGCCTTTAAAGTGCACTTTATAAAGAGTTTTGAACAGATAAGACTTTTTTTTTTTTTTTTCCTTTTCTGACCTCCGGAACGGATTAATTGCTTTTCAATGCATTTACCAAAGTTTTGTAATCCTGTCCCTGTACAGTATTTATGCCTTTATAGTGCACTTATAAAGAGTTTTGTACAGATAAAATCCTTTTTTTACTTTTTTTCTGACCTCCGGAACGGATTAATTGGATTTCAATGCATTCCTATGGGAAATCACATTTCGGTTTACAAATTTTTTGCAATAACATCTCGGAGAACGCAAAAAATTCGTAAACCGAGGTATGCCTGTACAATCAATGAGCTGTTACTGCAGCAATAGAAGGGAAACCTTCTGATGGGGACCCTTGCTCAGGGGACGTGTCAAAAAGAACATTCTCCTTACTCTGGAGAAATTTCTTCTTGCTTCCTGATGAGATACAAAGTCAAATGGAAAATCTTCCCAATAGGACAAAAAAACTCGTCATGGGTTTGTAAACATTCCCTATTCTATCCACAAATATTTGTGGGCTTTAGAGATACTTTAATGTATGCATTGGATACATTGGGGGTTATGTACTAAAACTGGAGAGTGCAAAATCTGGTGCAGCTCTGCATGGAAACCAATCAGCTTCCAGGTTTTATTGTCAAATCTTACTTGAACAAGCTGAAATTAGAAGCCGATTGGCTCCCATGCACAGCTGCACCAGATTCTGAGAGCTCCAGTTTTAGTAAATCAACCCCATGGCATGTTTTGGATTGTGGGGAAGATTTCAGCCTTTTATTTCTATCAGTGATCCCATTAAACAGATTGTCACTCACTTCCTGTCCCTGTGACACCCTTACATGAAATAGGGGGTGTGAGTGTCACTGAGACAGGAAGTCACGGGCTGTGGTAAAAACATTAGAAGGAATTCTAACCTGTTCAAACTTAGCTAGTTTTTTTTTTTTCTTATCTATGTTGGAGAGATTTCCCTTCATTTCCTGTCCTGACAGAAGAAAATGTACCAATATGGACATGGACAGTATTAAAAGAAACTGACAGAGGTTCTAAACCCCTCCCCGCTCTATCTTAGACCCCATTCACACTTGTGACATCAAAGTCACATGACAAGTCATACCGCATGTTTCCAATGATAACCATTGATATACAGGGGGTATAGAAGAAAATTACCCCTCCTTTAAAATAATCACATTTTGTTGATTTGCAGTCTGAAATGAAGACAGACACATTTTTTGTTTTATCCAGCTGTATTTACTCATATATTATTTGCAACTTAAAACACCCAAGTGAAAGCTATAACACCAACATGTCAGAAAAAAAATAAAAAATAATTAAAAAAAAACAGTTACCGAGTTGGAAAAAGGATCCCCCCCTCTTCAAAATGGCTTGTAAACTCAATCTGGTGTAATTAACCGTTTACCGACCGCGCTATAGCAGAAATATTGCTACAGGGCGGCACGGTTGCACAAAATCACATATATGTGTGTGTGTGTGTGTGTGTGTGTGTGTATATATATATATATATATACATATATATATATATATATAGATAGATAGATAGATAGATAGATATGTATATGTGATTTTGCATTTCCGGGTAGGGGGGCGCGCACGCGCCCTACTCGCACTGCCATTTGCGACCGCGGCTGTCAATCACCAAGTCCCGGCCGGTGATTACTCGCTGGTGCCCGGTGATTGCCGAGGAAACAGTTCTCCCTGTCTGCTTGTGTATACTGCTTTGGATGGCTGCGCACAGCACAGCCATTCAAAGCCTTGTGCTTAGAGTGAAGCACACAGACACCGCCCCCCAGTAAAACACTCCCTGCACACAGTTAACCTTTTGATCGCCCCTCATGTTAACCCCATCCTGCCCAGTGCCATTAGTACAGTGTCCATGCTTTTTTTTTTTTTTTTTTAGCACTGATCACTGTATTGGTGTCACTGGGGATGTCAGTTACACCAAGTCAGTTCCCCCCCGTGTCAGAATGCATGCTGCAGTCCCACTATAAGTCGCTGATTGCTGCCATTACTAGTAAAAAAAATTTTTAAAAATCCCAGTATATATAATTCCATTTGTATATGCTATAACTTTCACGTAAACCAATTAATGAACACGTATTGGGATTTTTTTTTTTAGCAAAGACATGAAGCAGAATACATATTGGCCTAAATTTATGCCGAAATTAAATTTTTTTTTTCACTGGATATGTTTAATAGCAAAAAGTCAAAAATATTGTTTTTTCTCAAAATTGTCAGTCTTTTTTTTTTGTGCAAAAAATAAAAAATGCACAGGTGATCAAATACCATCAAAAGAAAGCTCTATTCATGGGGAGAAAAGGATGTAAATTTCATTTGGGTGCAGCGTTGCATGACTGCGCAATTTTCAGTTAAAGTAACGCAGTGCTGCAACGCAAAAAAATGGCCTGGTCAGGAAAGGGGGTCATTCCTCAGGAGGGAAAGTGGTAAAAGTGTTACTAAACCCACACCAGTAAAATCAGTCTGTATATGCAGTAAAGCATGCTTGTTATTGTGTAAAAAGGCTGATTGATCCTGACTTCTTTGATCCTCCCCTTCTTCCAGTGCTCCCCTCTTATCTCCTGATAAGACATATCATGCGGAGTCACTCTGCACATGCTCAGTTTGGTGTGTACAACAAAACTTTTTTTTTTTTCTTGGGATCAGCACAGGGCCAATCAGCACTGTCCAGACAGAGGTCAGGGGTTCTACATCCTCCTAGAGCAGAAAGAAAACTCATCTTACAAGCTTTAACCAGTGCTCTGCTGGACACTGATAGAAGTCACAAGACTGCTATATACTTCTGATGAGAAAAGGTATTTTTAGCAGTTTATATTTACTAAATTAATTGCATTTCCATGTTCTGTGTACTGTGGAAGACCAGATATAGTAGATTCAGGGTACGGGGAGACCAGATATAGTGGATTCAGGGTCCGGGAGACCAGATATAGTGGATTCAGGGTCCAGGGAGACCAGATATAGTGAATGCAGGGTCCGGGGAGACCAGATATAGTGAATGCAGGGTCCGGGGAGACCAGATATAGTGAATGCAGGGTCCGGGGAGACCAGATATAGTGAATGCAGGGTTCGGGGAGACCAGATATAGTGAATGCAGGGTCCGGGGAGACCAGATATAGTGAATGAAGGGTCCGGGGAGACCAGATATAGTGGATTCAGGGTCCGGGAGACCAGATATAGTGGATTCAGGGTCCGGGGAGACCAGATATAGTGGATTCAGGGTCCGGGGAGACCAGATATAGTGGATTCAGGGTCCGGGGAGACCAGATATAGTGAATGCAGGGTCCGGGGAGACCAGATATAGTGAATGCAGGGTCCGGGGAGACCAGATATAGTGGATTCAGGGTCCGGGGAGACCAGATATAGTGGATTCAGGGTCCGGGGAGACCAGATATTGTGGATGCAGGGTCCGGGGAGACCGGACATAGTGAATGCAGGGTCCGGGGAGACCAGATATAGTGAATGCAGGGTCCGGGGAGACCAGATATAGTGAATGCAGGGTCCGGGGAGACCAGATATAGTGGATTCAGGGTCCAGGGTTTAGTAAAAACTTTAACCACTTGCCTACCGGGCACTTTCACCCTCTTACTGTCCAGGCCAATTGTCAGCTTTCAGCGCTGTTGCAATTTGAATGCCCATTACGCGGTCATGCAACACTGTACCCAAATGAAATTGTTATCATTTTTTCACACAACTAGAGCTTTCCTTTGGTGGTATTTATTTTTTGCACTAAAAATAAAAAGAGCAAAAAAAAAAAAGTTTTTTTTTTATTTTGCAAACAGGTAATTTTTCTCCTTCACTGATGTGCGTTGATGAGGCTGCACTGATGGGCACTAATGAGGTGGTACTGATAGGCTGCACTGATGAGGCGGCACTGGTGGGCATTGATGATACACTGATATGCAGCAATGATGGGCACTGATGGGCACTGATAAGCGATATTGATGGCACTGATGGGCGGCACTGACTGGAGGCACTGCCAGATGGCACTGATGGGCAGCACTGCTGAGCACTGATGGGTGGCACTATTTTGGCATTGCTGGGCAGTACTGATAATCAGAGCATTGATAGTGCTCTGATTATCAGTGCAGATGTCCTCTGTCACATTTGCCGGTTATCAGCAGTACTTTCGTGTGAGGAAAGTGCTGCCAATAACCGGCAACTGTATTTACTTTGTGATCTGCTGTGTCATTGGACACAGCTGATCACGTGGTAAAAGGCTGCTGTGATTGGCCTTTTACATAGTTAGTCTGGCTGAAAAAAGACAAAAGTCCATCCAGTTCAACCATAAAAAAAAAAAAGTTATAATCCTACACCCACAGTTGATCCAGAGGAAGGCAAAATAACCCAGCAAAGCATGATCCAATTTGCTCCTGCAGGGGAAACAATTTCTTCCTGATCCCCCGAGAGGCAATCAGATATTCCCTGGATCAACTTTACCTATAAATGTTATATCCAGTTATATTCTGTGTATCCAAGAAGGAGTCCAGGACTGCAAAACCACAGCACACAGCAGGTGAGTATAGACATGTTTGGTATTTTACAAAAAAAAAACGTTAGAATCCCTTTAAATTTGCAGAAACTTTAAAGCAGTTAGTTTACTACTTTGGTCCAACTTTCATGCAACTTGAGGGCCATAGACTTCAATGTTAACCCTCAAAAGTCACGTCCAAGTTTTCTAAAGGACACTAACTTCAAGGGCCCAGTTTGCCACAGTGACCGGAAACTGTGTCCCGGCATCTGGGCCCTTGCCAGTGGCCGGGACTGGCAGGGCTACCATCAGGGGACAGCAGCCCATACAAAAGTGGGGGGCTCAGGCCATTCCGAGGGGCCTGAACCACATTCTCCAACCTGTGCCATCTTTAACGTGGGGCAGCTGCTATCAGAGCAAACCGGCTGCCAAGATGCAGAGGAGGGTGGAGTGGTGGGCAAATCCCAGGTGTGTACAGCGAAGAAGCAGCACTAGGAACCAATCAGTTCAATGTGCTGACAAAAAGCATGCTGATAGGAGGAGAGCAGAGAGTGACTGAGAGATGAGCTTATCACTGTGCTGCCATCTACTTTCATTATCCAATCATGGGCAGACTGGGGACTGGTCCAGGACAACATGGCCTCAGAGGAAGTGGTCTGAATGATACTAGCCATCGGACTGAGGACATCTTGTGGTGGAGAAGTATTACAAGGCAAATCTATGGATTGAATATGAATATTGCAACAATTTTTTTTTGTTTGTTTTTATATTTAAAGGACTATTCATTTTTATCTTGGTATTTTAATCCCTTCCCACCGACCATACGCATATATGCGGCCTCCCATACTAGCTCCTTGTTCGGGGTCACCTGATCGCTGCGATAGCCTCTGATTGGCTATCACAGTGATCAATCACTGTGCAGCCCACCCCTGTTTTTTTGTTTACTCTTTCTCAATGTGAGAGAGATACATCATATCTTTCTTTCATTTCAGAGAAAGAAAGTAAAAGAATGTGAAAAAAGTCCTGGATTCTTTCTTGAATACACAGAATGTAACTGGATATAACATTTTATAGGTAAAGTTGATCCAGGGAATATCCGATTGCCTCTCGGGGGATCAGGAAGGATTTTTTTTTTCCCCTGCAGGAGCAAATTGGATCATGCTTTGCTCGGTTTTTTGCCTGCCTCTGGATCAACTGTGGGTGTAGGATTATAACTTTTTTTTTTATTGTTGAACTGGATGGACTTTTGTCTTTTTTCAGCCAGACTAATTATGTAAGTGTGTGTGTGTGTGTAAAAAAAAAATATATATATATTATTATTATTATTATTATTATTAATAAATAATAATAATAATAATAATTATTATTATTATTATTATTATTATTATTATTATTTATTATTATTATTAATAATAATAATAAAGAAAGAAATAAAATAAAGAAAAATACCTAGATCAAGGTTAGATCTAGATCAGTGCCAGGGTTAGTGTTAGGGTCAAATTTTGAGCAGGATTGTTCTTTTAATTATTATCAGTGTCAGTGTGTTTTAGGTAAGGTATTAAAAAAAAAAAAAATAGAATTCACATTGTTTTTATTGTTTCTGGGTTGTACCACAGGTACAAACAGCAAATAACATACACATGTGGTATCTCTGCAATCATCAGGAGCATTAGAATTTATTTTGGGTTGTTGTTTGGTGGTGGGTTATGGTAGTAGCAAGAAATATACAGCTAAATTTATTTAAAGAATATTTTTTTTCTTGACCCAAATAATAAAAATAAAAAAATCAGAAGATATCTGTTACCATTTACCACCAAATAAAAGCCTTATTTGTCTTGTAAAAAACAACGGTATAATCCACCTGGATGTACAAAGTAGTTGCAATGATATGCAATGTTTTACTAACACATGTCAAAGTTGCAAAAATTGTGTTCAGGCATTAAGATTTGTTTTACCCTCAAGTCGCTACGGGGTTCAGCTTTAAGAATAAATGTGCAGAATTAGCTGAATCATGACTTTACATATTTAAATATTGTCATTACCTTTTATCTTTACTGTAGATTTTTTTTTTTTCTTCCTTTGTAGATTTTCTTTTTTTTTACGATCCACCAGACCCCAGAACTTTATTCTGCTTTGAAATAATCCCCTTTATAAATAAGGAATCCTTTTCTGTTCTATATACAAACAGTTGTGGACTTTTCTGTAGCAGATGGCACACCCTCCTTCTTCTTTTTTTTTTTTTTTTAGTGTGATTTTTTTTTTTTTTTTCTTGGCGTTCAGAGATTGTGTAGAATTTTGTGAATACTTATTGTATAGCTGACATTATCCTCCCTCTCTGTGCAGTTTTGTCCCAGGAAGAGAATGAACTGGGGAAATTCCTCCGTGCACAGGGCTCTCAGGACAAATCCCGAGCCGGGAAAATCATGCAGGCCACAGGGAAGGCTCTCTGCTTCTCCTCCCAGCAGAGGTACGTCATGTCTTTGTGCATTGCAATAAACGCCTATAAATTCTGGGAACGCTGGGTATTTGCACAGCCCTCTGAAAATACGTTCTCTAAATATGTACACTCGCCGGCCACTTTATTAGGTACACCAGTTCAATTGCTTGGTAAAACAAATTGCTGTACTGTCTGCCTTCATTTTGTAAAGTGCTGCGCACACTGTTGGTGCTATAAAAATCCTTTATAATAATAATTACTAATCAGCCAATCACATGGCAGCAACTCAAGGCATTTAGGCATCTAGACGTGGTGAAGGCGACGTACTGAAGTTCAAACCGAGAATGGGGAAGAAAGGGGATTTAAGTGATTTTGAGCATGGCATGGTTGTTGGTAAGAGGCTGGTCTGAGCATTTAAAAAAACTACTGACTTACTGGGTTTTTCGCGCACAACCATCTCCAGGGTTTACAGAGAATGGTCTGAAAAAGAGAAAATATCCAGTGAGCGGCAGTTGTGTGGAGGAAAGTGCCTTGTTGATGTCAGAGGAGACTGGGCAGACTGTTTCAGCTGCGACATTCAGATGGCAGGGTCACAATGTGGCGTAAACAACATGAAAGCATGGATCCATCCTGCCTTGTATGCAGTTGAGGCTGCTGGTGGTAGTGGTGGTGGTAGTGGTGGAATGGTGTTGGGGAATATTTTCACGACTAGTAAAGTGTACCTAATAAAGTGGCCAATGAGAGCATATCTACACCTCGACCTAAATATGAATGACAGACCTAAACCCGCCCCTTTTTTTTTTTTTTTCATTAACCCCTTAACACCGGAGTCTCCTGCCCCTTTAAGGGCTTTCTGATGCCAAGAATTAGGGTGGGGTTCATCAATCATGTGACCACCGTGATTGGTTGTGAGAGCGGTTACATGATCATAAAACTCTGCAGGGAACACACTCTTGACACAGCTTTGTTTACCTTTTGGTGGACATATATGTGGCCTCTCCTGTCGAAGCCCACCCACCGAGAGGCTGCATATATGCATACTGTCAGTGCACAGAGGTTAAAAGTATTTATTTAGCACCGACAATTTATGCAGCACCTTATATATATTGTATATTCCTATCAGTCCCTGCCATCGAGGAGCTTACAATCTCAGATCCTTCATATATACACTGCTCAAAAAAATTAAAGGAACACTTTTCAATCAGAGTCTAGCATCAAGTCAATGAAACTCCTGGGATATTGATCTGGTCAGTTAGGAAGCAGAGGGGGTTGTTAATCAGTTTCAGCTGCTTTGGTGTTAATGAAATTAACAACAGGTGCACTAGATCGGCAACAATGAGACGACCCCCAAAACAGGAATGGTTTTACAGGCGGAGGCCACTGAAATTTTTTCCCTGCTCCTCTTTTCTGACTGTTTTTCACTAGTTTTGCATTTGGCTAGGGTCAATGTGACTACTGGTAGCATGAGGCCATACCTGGACCCTACAGAGGTGTCTCCCAGCACAGTCTCAAGAGTATGGAGGAGATTCCAGGAGTCAGGCAGTTATTCTAGGAGAGCTGGACAGGGCCTTAGAAGGTCCTTAACCCATCAGCAGGACTGGTATCTGCTCCTTTGTGCAAGGAGGGAACAGGATGAGCACTCCAGAGCCCTACAAAATGACCTCCAGGAGGCCACTGGTGTGAATGCCTCTGACCAATCAGAAACAGACTTCATGAGGGTGGCCTGAGGGCCCGACATCCTCTAGTGGGCCCTGTGCTCACTGCCCGGCACCATAAGGCTCCATTGGCATTTCCCATTGAACACCAGAATTGGCAGGTCCACCACTGGCGCCCTGTGCTTTTCACAGATGAGAGCAGGTTTACCCTGAGCACATGTGACAGACGTGAAAGGGTCTGGAGAAGCTGTGGAGAATGTTCTGCTGCCTGTTACATTGTTCAGCATGACTGTTTTGGTGGTGGGTCAGTGATGGTCTGGAGAGGCATATCCATGGAGGAACACATAGACCTCTACAGGTTTCGGGATGAAATCCTTGGACCCATCGTCAGACCCTACGCTGGTGCAGTGGGTCCTGGGTTCCTCCTGGTGCAAGACAATGCCTCATGTGGTGAGAGTATGCAGGCAGTTCCTGGAGGATGAAGGAATTGATACCATTGAATGGCCCCCACGCTCCCCTGACCTAAATCCAATAGAACACCTCTGAGATGTCATGTTTCGGTCCATCCGATGTCGCCAGGTTGCGCCTCAGAGCTCAGTGATGCCCTGGTCCAGATCTGGGAGGAAAATCCCCCAGGACACCATCCGTCATCTCATTAAGAGCCTCCCCCGACGTTGTCAGGCATGCATACAAGCACGTGGGGGCCATACACACTAATGAGGACCAGTCTGAGTTGCTGCAATTAAATTTCAGTATAATGGACTCGCCTGCTGCATCATTTTTCACTTTGATTTTTGGAGTGTCTTTGAATTCAGTCCTCTGTAGGTCGATCATTTTCATCAGTTGATGGAACATCCTTACGTTCCTAACACATTACCCATCCATATCAGTATAGAGACCAGCAGGAGATTTTTCCCCATTGATATCTGATGTGTTTTCAAAGTGTTCCTTTCATTTTTTTTGAGCAGTGTATATATACTGTACATACTAGGGCCAGTTTAGACAGGAGCCAATTAGCCTACCAGCATGTCTTTGGGTGGAAGGAAGCCCATGCAAGCACAGTGAGGACATGCACACTCCATGCAGGTAGTGTAATGGCTGCAATTTGAATCGATGATCCCAGTGCTAACTTGAAATATTAACCACTAATCAAGCTGCTTTCAAGCCAGACCAGACTGATCACTTTCCTGTTCCTTCTAGGCTGGCCTTACGAGCCCCATTATCCCGACTTCATCAGGAGGTGGAAACCTTCCGTTATCGAGCAATATCCGATTCCTGGCTGACCGTCAACCGAATGGAGCAGGCCAGGACCGAGTACAGAGGAGTATTACTGTGGATGAAGGATGTGTCTCAAGAACTTGACCCCGATCTCTACAAACAGATGGAGAAATTCCGAAAGGTACTTGCAAAGGAAATTTTTTTTTTTAACCACACCGGTGGTACGCATATACTGTATGCAGCCTCTTGGAGGGTGGGCCTTAACGCCGAGAGGCCACTTATATGCATATCGTAATGTAACCAGAGCTGTTCCGGGAGTGCGCGCCCTGCGTGTTTCCGGAACAGTTTCCGGCAGCTAACGGAAAGCTCCTGATCTCTACTTGTGAACCGGAGCTTTCCAATCGTGTGATCGCTGTCACAGCCAATCACGGCGGTCACGTGATCAGAAACCTCGTCCCATCTCCTGGCATCAAAAAAATCTTAAAGGGTCAGGAGGCGCCAGCCTTACAGGGTTAATGTTTTGGGGGGTTTTTTGTATATTGTCAAAGCTGAACTCTATTCATATGTAAAAGACAATTATTCATGCAGCTCTGTAATCATTAATACATCGTTAAATTGCAAACCTGAATTTGGCTCACTATCAGCCTCTTGCAGTCCCTGTACAGGGCTAGAGTATAAGAGGGAGAAGCAGCACAAGGAGCCAATTCATATGCTGACAAGAGCATGCTCATAGAAGGAGAGAGCAGAGTGACAGAGATGAGCTCATTGCTGTGCTGCCTCTCCTGGGGGCAGGTCCAGGGTGACCCGAGCTCAGAGGAAATGGGTTGATTGATGCTGAGGTCATCTAGTGGCAAAAATGAGATAAATACACTGCTCAAAAAAATGAAAGGAACACTTTGAAAACACATCAGATCTCAATGGGGAAGAATCTCCTGCTGGCTATCTATACGGATATGGACGGGGTGATGTGTTAGGAATGTAAGGATGCCCCATCGTCTTATGGAAATGAAAATTATCAACCTACAGAGGACTGAATTCAAGGACACCCCGAAAATAAAAGTGAAAAAATGATGCAGCAGGCAAGTCCATTTTGCTGAAATTTCATTGCAGCAACTCAAAATGGTCCTCAGTAGTTTGTATGGCCCCCACGTGCTTGTATGCATGCCTGACAACGTCGGGGAATGCTCCTAATGAGACGACGGATGGTGTCCTGGGGTATTTCCTCCCAGATCTGGACCAGGGCATCACTGAGCTCCTGGACAGTCTGAGGTGCAACCTGGCGGCGTCAGATGAACCAAAATATGATATCCCAGAGGTGTTCTATTGGATTTATGTCAGGCGAGTGTGGAGGCCATTCAGTGGTACCAATTCCTTCATCCTCCAGGAACTGCCTGCATACTCTCGCCACATGAGGCTGCGCATTGTTGTGCACCAGGAGGAACCCAGGACCCACTGCACCAGTGTAGGGTCTGACAATGGGTTCAAGGATTTCATCCCAATTCCTAATGGCAGTTAGGGTGCCATTGTCTAGCCTGTAGAGGTATGTGCGTCCCTCATGGATATGCCTCCCCAGACCATCACTGACCCACCACCAAAATGGTCATGCTGAACGATGTTACAGGCAGCATAACATTCTCCACGGCTTCTCCAGACCATTTCATGTCTGTCATATGTGCTCAGGGTGAACCTGCTCTCATCTGTGAAAAGCACAGGGCGCCAGTGGTGGACCTGCCAATTCTGGTGTTCAATGGCAAATGCCAATCGAGCTCTATGGTGCCAGGCAGTGAGCACAGGGCCCACTAGAGGACGTTGGACCCTCAGGCCACCCTCATGAAGTCTGTTTCTGATTGTTTGGTCAGAGACATTCACACCAGTGGCCTGCTGGAGGTCATTTTGTAGGGCTCTGGCAGTGCTCATCCTGTTCCACCTTCCACAAAGGAGCAGATACCATGGTGATGGGTTAAGGACCTTCTACGGCCTTGTTCAGCTCTCCTAGAGCATGTCTGTCTCCTGGAATCTCCTCCATGCTCTTGAGACTGTGCTGGGAGACACAGCAAATCTTCTGGCAATGGCACGTATTGATGTGCCATCCTGGAGGAGTTGGACTGCCTGTGCAACCTCTGTAGGGTCCAGATATGGCCTCATGCTACCAGTAGTGACACGGACCATAGCCAAATGCAAGACTAGTGAAAAACAGTCAGAAAAGATGAGTAGGGAAAAAATGTCAGTGACCTCCACCTATAAAACCATTCCTGTTTTGGGGGTCGTCTGATTGTTGCCCATCTAGTGCACATGTTGTTAATTTCATTAACACCAAAGCAGCTGAAACTGATTAACAACCCCCTCTGCTACTTACCTGACCAGATCCATATCCCAGGAGTTTCATTGATCTGATGCTAGATTCTGATTAAAAAGTGTTCCTTTAATTATTTTGGCCAGTGTAGAAAGCAGAGACACTCATGGGCTTTGGAGTCTGTGTCCGAACAAGAGGAATTTATTCTGTCCAACCTTTTGATGGATCACAGTCCATCTATGTCAAGTTGTAAAGTAGTATTATTTCATTGAAGGGGAATATTTTAGCAAAAGCTGTTTCTTTTTAATTATTTTAACACCTTCCAGCCCAGCCTATAGCAGATTGATGGCAGGGCGGGACACTCGCCATTGTGACTGGGCGTCATATGACATCCTGTCAAAATGAGCCACTCACGCAGCCGCTGGGCTGCACAGCCTGACACCGGCTGTGTCCACGGGACACAGCCAATGACATATCACTACACCGGCCCGTTGCCAGTGTCATGTGACCTGCAGCAGATCACATTTCAATTGTACACAATGGATGGCTTCCTGTCATGCCATCCATTGTATACAATTATGTTGTTAGCTGTGACTGGTCAAGGCAGTCACATGATACAGACAGGGCCAATCACAGCTCATTTGTATCATGTGATCAGCTTTGCCCAATCACAGCTACTCACAACAAAAGCCTGAATGAATCAGCTTCATTCAGTAACAATGATTGCAAATATCAATGAAATACATCGGTATTAGCAATCATAATGTGTCTAAAAAAAAAAAAAAATACTGATCACTTGCCCAGAGTAGTTCAATGTTACTATGGTAATCCAAGGTGATTTTGTCACTTTGTTGCTTGCAGCTTTTTCTTTTTACTGGTGAGCAGGATAATAATTTTTAAATAATTAACTACTTGCCCTCTGCCCTATAACAGAACCACTGTTACAGGGCAGCAGGTCTGTGCAAAATCACGTATAAATACGTGATTTGCTTTTTTGGGTAGGGGGCGTGCACGTTGCCCTACCCGCGCCGCTTTAGATGGCTAGAGATGTCAATCACCGGGTACCAGCAGATGATTCCCGGCCGGCCGGGACTCCGCAATCATCAGGAAAAGGTGACAGGGGAGAGAACTGTGTGAAAAAACAACACAGGTCTCTCTCCTGTCAGCAAGGACATGCTGCTTTGTATTTGTCTGCACAGCATGTTTATATTCCTGAACAAAGTATGTCAGTGCTACTGATCAGGGCTGTGGATAAGGGGGTACCACCAGTCGTCCTGTACGGGGCCCAGACCAGCAGAAGGGCCCAGGCAGCTGGGTGAATCAAATGTGGGCAGGGAGAGTGATCGGCATGGTAGGGAGGCAATTACTGGAACCAATCCCCTGTATGGCTCCCTTTGCAACATTTTAAAGCTGGATTCTTCTACTCTTCCTCCTGCTGGTTTTCAGCTGCTGTAGAGAAAGAAAATACAGGGGATCGGTTCCAATAATTGACCCCCTGCCCACTATGTCGATCACCCTGCCTGTGCACATCTGAGTCACCCAGGGCCAGCTTCCCTCCTCTCTTTCCTACCGGCCAATGCAAGCACACAATAGGATGCTTTAGGATGGAGATTTGGGGAAGTGTCCTAAAATATGTCACATTGACAAGCCCCTTCCTTTCCTGAATGAACACAATGAGTGATCAGTACTGATCACCCACTGTGTCCATTCATGACTGAAGCATAGTAATCTGTGTTTTTTTTTTGCATTTTTTTTAAGGGGGCCCTGCCAGGATGGCTGTATGGGGCCCTGTGGTTTCTAACAGCAGCCCTGCTGCTGATTGATGCAAGACAATCGATAATATTCCACCCTGAATGATCAACTCCATTTGGTTGAATTTGATGAAAATTGAGTAAGTTTTTGTAAGCGAAGTTATAGCTATATAAGTATATAACTATATTCAAGTGCTTGCTGATTCAATTATTTTGTTAAATTTGCACATTGATCTCATAAAGAAATACAAGCATGTGTGCCCCCCCCCCCCCTCCATTAGACAGCTGCCATCACATCAGGTGTCCACAATGAACTTATGCGCACCTCTAGTTCTGGTGACAACTGTAAAATTTTGAATTTCCATTGTTTCCTCTCTTGGAATAATATAATTTTTTCAGCAGAGAGCAATAAAAAAAAACTTGCCTACTAAAAATAAGAAATAAAACTGTATGTACTTTTTAGGATGTCTGATACTGCATTTCTATATTGTGGCTGCATACTAGATTATGAACAGAAGGTGGTGGTGCTATTGTACAAGGTGTTTTGATGGACATTCATTTTGTTGGTTTATAAAGTTCTCAAATTTTTTTGCCGTATTTCAACAACCTTGATAATTATGTTTAATTTGTGTACATTTGTCTTACCAAATAGCAGACTTCTTTTATATTTCCCCTGGTAATTTACTCTAAAGTCCTATCAAAACTTTATTTTTACAGATTGTGGACGGGTTACAACTAGTGGTGCACCGAAATGAAAATTCTGGTGCCGAAACTGAAAATTCAGAATGCACTTGACTGAAAACCGAAATAGACGGTTTTTAAAAATTAATATATATTTTTTTGGAAAAACAAATACACTTTTATGATAAAAAAAAACAATATATACTCCAATTTGTTTGTAAAATATGAAAGATGATGTTATGGCGAGTAAATAGATACCCAACATGTCATGCTTTAAAATTGCACACGATCGTTGAATGGCGTCAAACTACGGTACTTAACCTCTTGCCCTCCTGAAGATTTACCCTTCCTGACCAGGCCATTTTTTGCGTTTACGGTGCTGCGTTAATTTAACTGACAATTTTGCAGTTATGCAACGTTGCACCCAAATTAAATTTAGGTCCTTTTTTTCCCACA